CAATACATTAATTAGAGCCTGTTTCGGATGCTCCTGATGCTCCTACATTAAAAGAATTAAATGGTAATGAACATTCATTTATTTGCTAAGTCAAACTATAACTCTTTAATAATTAAAATATTGTTTTAAAAAAAAAAAAATAAAATTCAATGGTTGATGATATACTATAGAATGTAAGCCATTTAATTTTCCTATCGATATATTTTAACATGTAAACTAAACTTTTATTTAAATTTCTAATGATTAATTATACTAGGGAGTAAGTTATTGTAATTCTTTATATTGTAATTTAAGCTTAACTTATTATTTAAAAAAACTTTTTTCATGGTTAACAATGTTTTAGTCGGTAAGTTGATTTATTATTATCTATATTTCATTATACTTTATTTAATAATTTAACCTCAACTAAAAGTTTTATTTAAAAAATTATAGATCGTAAGTTATGCTTTGCTTTTTAATTCAATTAACTATTTTTTTTACTATAATTTAAATAAACTATATTAATATATATATCGATAATATTACAGAAAGTAAGTTACAAATTAGTTGATTATCATAAGTTTTGACAAATTTGATTGAATTGATATAATTTAAACTCAAAAAAATTTTATATATAAAAAAAAAATATTCAATAATTAATAATGCAATAGATAGTAAGTTATTTTATTGATTATTAGTATTTAATTATACTTTTTACTGTAATTTAAATTCAACTACATTTTTTATTTAAAAAAATTTATTAGTGGGTAAGTTATTTTTATTGATTATTAGTATTTAATTATACTTCTTACTGTAATTTTAAAAAAATTTATTAGAGGGTAAGTTATTTTATTGATTATTAGTATTTAATTATACTTTTGATTGTAATTTAAGCTCAAAAAAAATTTATATATAAAAAATTTATATATAAAAAAAAAAATTCAATAATTAATGATACAATAGATAGTAAGTTATTTATTGATTATTAGTATTTAATTATACTTTTTTAATATAATTTAAACAACTAAATTTTTTATTTTAAAAAAATTTAATAATTAATAATGTAATAGATGGTAAGTTATTTATTGATTATTAATATTAATTATAATTTTGATTATAATTTAAATTTAACTAAATTTTTTATTTAAAAAAAATATATAATAATTAATAATGCAATAGATGGTAAGTTATTTTACTGAGTATTAGTATTTAATTATACTTTTTATTGTAATTTAAAGTCAACTAAATTTTTTATTTAAAAAAATAAATTTTATTAGTTTGTAAGTTATATTTATTGATTATTAACATTAATTATACTTTTTACTGTAATTTAAATTTAACTAAATTTTTTATTTAAAAAAATTTAATAATTAATAATACAATAGATGGTAAATTTATTAATTATTTATTTGAAGCTTTAACTAAAGGATATATACGGTTAAATATGGTTGATTAAATATCAAGCTTCATATTGAATTATTCTTTTTACTGTAATCTAAACTTAACTAAATTTTTTATTTAAAAAAATAAATTTATTAGAAAGTAAGTTATTTTTAGTATTTATTCTTTTTACTATAATTTAACTCAACTAATTAAAAAAAAATATTAAATTTAGCTTGTAAGTTATTTTTAATATAATTTAACTTAAATAAATTTTTTATTTAAAAAAAATATTTAATAATTAATAATACAATAGATGATAAGTTATTATATAATTATTAGTATTTAATTATATTTTTATTGTAATTTAAATTCAACTAATTTTTTTATTTGAAAAAATTTAATAAATGATAAATAGATAGTAAGTTATTTATTGATTATTAATATTTAATTATAATTTTTATTGTAATTTAAATTTAATAAACTTTTTTAAAAAATATTTAAATTTAAATCGTAAAGTTTTTTTTTAATTATTAGTATTTAATTATATTTTTTAATGTAATTTAAATTTAAATAAATTTTTATTTAAAAAAATTTATTAGAAGGTTAAGTTATTTTTATTGATTATTAGTATTTAATTATACTTTTTACTATAATTTAAATTCAATTATATTTTTTATTTAAAAAAAAAATTTATTAGGATGTAAATTATTTTTATTAATTATCAGTATTTAATTATACTTTTTATTATAATTTAAATTCAATTATATTTTTTATTTAAAAAAATAATTTATTAGGGTGTAAGTTATTTTTATTAATTATTAGTATTTAATTATATTTTTATTGTAATTTAAATTTAATTAAATCTTTATTTAAAAAATTTTTAAAAAATATCATGGTAAGTTATTTTTATTGATTATTAATATTTAATTATATTTTTTATTGTAATTTAAATAACTAAATTTTATAAAAAATTTTGATAATATTATATAGTCTAAGATATTTTATTGATTATTGATATTTATTTGTATTTTTTATTTAATTTAAATTCAATTATATATTTATTTAAAAAAATATTTCATAAATAATAATATAATAGTAGGTTAGTTATTTTTTATTACTTAATTATATTTTTAATATAATATAATTTAATAGTTAATAATAAATAATATAAAATATAATATATTTATAAAATTTATAAATTTATAAATTTTAGTAAGTATTTTAATAGTCATATTAAATATTAATTATATATTAATATAAAATAATTTTATAGAAAAAAGAATCATGCTTAAATTGTAATAAAGAATATACTGAACATCATTGGTGTAAAAAATGTTATTCTAAATTATTTAAAAAAAATTTTTCTAACTGGATTAGTTAAAATGAATTTATTGATAAATTTATTCAAAAAATTCAAATAAACGCTCAAAATAATAAACAATTTTTAGAATGGATTCCTTATAATAAATTTGAAAATATTAAGTATTTTGATAAAGGAGGATTTAGTATTATATATAAAGCTATTTGGATAGATGGATTTATTAAAACTTATTCATATGATGATAATAATTGGATTAGAATTGGTAAAATTGATGTAATTCTTAAAAGTTTAAATAACTCATTAAATTTAAATGATGAATTTTTAAATGAGGTATAATATTAATAATAATTTTTAATTTTAAATAACAAATAATAAATTAATTTTATTTTTTAGTGGAAATATCATTATTTATGCTACAGTCAATTGAAAAAATATTCAGATGAAAACCTTATCAAATTTATGGATTTACTCAAGATCCTAATACTTTAAATTATATGGTAGTATTAAAATATGCAAAAAATAGTAATTTTGGAAAAAATTTATCAGAGATAGTTGAATATACATGGATGTTTAAATTAGCTCTATTATATGGTATTATTAGTGAACTTAATGAAATACATCAAAAAAACTTAGTTCATTGTGATTTTCATCATGGTAATCTTTTATATATTAAAAAAGCTTATTTATCTATTAGTGATTTAGGATTATGTAAACCTGTAGATTATTTTCAAACATCTAAAAAAAATAATATTTATGATGTTTTATCATTTATTGCACCTGAAGTTTTGAGAGGTCAATCTTATACTAAAGCTAGTGATATATATAGTTTTTTTATAATTATGTGGGAATTAATATCAGGAGTTCTTCCATTTAATGATAAAGCTCATGATTTTCAACTTAGTTTAGATATTTGTAAAGGTAAATAAACAGCCTGAGATTATTGAAAATATTTCACAATGTTATATAAATTTAATGAAAAGATGTTAGGATGAAGATTCATTAAAAAAAACTAACTGCATCAGAAATTCAAGAAATTTTTGTAAAATGGAAATTTAATATTATAAGTAAAAATTATGATGAAAAATGTATAAATGATATAATAGAATTTTACAAATCAGATAAAGTATTAAAACAAAAACAAGATAATAATATATTATATAATAAAATTATTATTAAATCTCATCCAAAAGCATATTATATAAGTCGCTTACTAAATTTTACTGAAAGATTAAATCAAGTTTTAAATGAAATATGAAAATTATAATAGTGAAAATAAAGGTAATTATTATAATATTTATAAATATAAAAATTTTAAAATTATTAATTAAAATGTATTTAATTTTATAGAATCTTGAATATCATGAAAGATTAATTTAAACATATTGTGATGAGTGTCGATCTTGATGATCATATATCTACAAATGTATGGTAGAGTACAAATATCGATAATGTCAAACATATTAAACATATTTAATATGTTTAATATAGTTAATATGTCTAACATATCAGATATGTCTAACATAGTTAATATAGTTAAAATAATTAAAATAGTTGATATAGTTAACATAGTTAATATATTAAATATATCAAAATATGTAATAAAATAAATATAAATACAAGCCTTTTTGTCAGTTAAAAAAAGATAGACTGACAGCTATATAGTAATCTCCTTCTTGTAAATGATAGTGCAATGCTACTCTTCACTTTGTATATCTCTATTTCTTATTTCTATTTTCTAATTTCTTTCTTATATTTTATCTTATTATTTTCTTTCTACTTTAATAAAAGCATTTCTTATTTCTTATCTCAAACTCTTTGTAAACTACTATAATAACTCTTAATTTGTAATTAAAGTTACTCGCATTTAGTAAACTTGACTTGACTTGATAAATTAGTGATAAAAAATAACTAAGATTTAGTGTGAAACTAGTTAGAACCTTATATAAACTATAAAGAGTCAATCCTCTGACACTGCGTCTAACAATTTCAACCTGAAAAGTTTGCATGTTAACATTTAGCGATGATGATAGAATCCTCTTCAACTATTTACATATTACAATAAAGCTGAAATAACTATTAATGTACTCTCATGAATACATTTCATACATTTGACAATCTACATAAGTATCAGAAAATTCATCATCAACTGCACGCTAATATTGACCATAACATTAGAACTGCGAAACTACTTATTGAAGATTCTTCTTGTCTCACTTGAAACTCTAGTACTGATTTCTCTGAACTCTTGAAAGCCTTTCAAACTTTCTTTGATTAGGCTATTGACAACCTCGAAGCACAGTGATATACAGATAAAGCCATGACTGCGTTTGAATAAGCTATTGCTGCACTATCTATCGACCTCCAACAAGTATATTTTCAACAATCTTTGTGTTCTTTACATTATAATCAACTACCTTCTATTACCTTAGATCAAGCTAATTAAAAAATTGATATCAGAAAATTGTACAAATAACAAATCTAAGAACTGTTACTACTACTCAGTTGAATGTAAGTAAATAACCTTCTACTGAAGAAGAGAAAAGGAACTCTCAAAACTTTGAAGACAATTTAAATACCACCAACCTTGACTCAGATTCTGAACACAAACCTGATGTTAAAAGTAGCAGTCTCTCTCGTCTTGGTGATACTAGTAGTGTAAGGCTATAGCTTTAATAGTGCAGAATTTAACAATTGGAATACTAGCTCCAAAAATAGAAAGCTATATCAATATTATCTTATTTCTGACTTTGAAAATAAGGATAACGATAATGTTAAATTCCTATCACAAAAGGCAAAAACAGACAAATAGATATCACTAAAAATAGATAATAGAAAAAATTGCAGAAAAAGTTATCACAGGCAATCACGTTGACCTTCTCATTATGATAGTTCCTCCTCTAGCTTAGACTCTAGTAATAGTTTTCCTAAAAGTGAAGACGAAGTTGACCTAATAACTGAAAATATTAATAATATCAATTTGTTTGACGAACCTCAACTCTTTCAAATGTTGAAGAAATTACAAGGCGTCTTACATTCTGTGAGATTCTTGGGTTCAAGGAAAGCTAGATTTGTAGATTTTCTTACATTCAAAGGAGGTGACCAAGATTTCAGTGACTAGTTAGAATAATACAATCATGTGTATGAGACTAATAACATTTCCAATAAAGAAGATTGACTCTGGTACTATTCTTCATGAAAGGATTAGCCCTTACTTAGTTTAACAAAACAAAATTCAAAAAGGATTTATGCTATTAGAATAATGATAGTAATTGATAACATAAATATTGATCCTTTATCTATCATTTTCTTAAACACTATTATACTACTCATAGGCAAATGCAATGGTGATCTGCACTTTGATGATACAAATAAAGGCCTAAACAATCTGTAGAGAAATATGCTGTAGAAGTAGAGTTTTTATACCTAAAATTAGATCCAAAATATAACACTCCAGAGGACAAAAAGATTGAACAATTCCTCTAAGGCTTACAACCTGAATTCTATATTGTTCTTGCTGCTGCTGCTTTACATGACTTAGAGAAAGCAATTGATAGAGCTCATTATGTTAGAGTAGTATTATCTCGTGATACAATTTTGTCAGATTATTTCTTGAGTAAGGCCTATTTGAACTACAGTAAAGATTTCAAAGAAGAAGAACAACCTGCTAACATGTAACATCTTATTGATAAAAATAACAAAAAGTTAATTAAAAAATTCAAGCACTTGTTATTTAGTACTATTGCAACCCATAAATCTACCAATGATCATACTAATAATAACTGAAAGAATTGATCGAATAATAACACATCTGGAAGCAATAAACAAAACAGTTATAATTGTAAAAAAGTAGAATATCTTTCTAAAGACTGTCGAGCACTAAAAAATAATCATAATAATGGTGATAAATATCATAACTGCAAACAATTTAGACATTTCGCAAGGAATTGCATCACTCAATTAAAAACTCCTTACCCTCATTATAAACAACATGGATATTAGGGAAATTTATGTTCAACTAAAAACAGATTTAGGACAAATGGAAGCCAACGTGCTGCACTTTCATATCACACTCCAATAATGTCTGATAATCAAAATATGTATATACCATTAATGGATACCTTGCCACCACAACCTATATACTCCTATTTACCTCTACATCTTCATTTAAACTACTAACGGTGTCTTCAGAGAATGAATACACCAGTGGAAATCAAAATTCCTCAAAAGCAATCAAAATTATTTATTGTTATACTCATATGGATAAAAAACTAATATATTTAATTTTAGATTCTGGATCAGCAGAAAGTGTGATGTCTAAATTATTTTTACAACAATTAGGATGACAAATAGAAGATTCTTCTCAAATTATAATGATAAATATTCAAGATGAATATTCTCGACTATTAAGACAAGTAATAAATATACTAATTCAAATTGATAATGTTAAAATATCAATGAATGTCAATATTACAGAATCAAATGATTATTATATAATAGCTGATAATAATTGGCTTATCAAAAGTCAAGTATAATTACATTAGGACAAAGGAGCTTTTATTTTTAAATGGAATGAGTTATACACTAAGTTCTAATAACCTATTAAGAAAAACCTGTATTTAATCGATTTTAATAACTAACACTTGTTATAAATCTTACAAATGAAGAATATTGTTAACAGAAGAAATTACAACTCCAAATATCATGTGGGATTTGCCAATTAGTGATGATCTCATGTTAGATAATGTTACTACTGTGCTAAGCAGTAATCAACAATAATTTTTATCTTGCCTGTTTCTTCTGTATTTTTTGTATAGCTATTTATTCTGTTTATTCTGTTTCGCCTGTAATTTTCTTAACATCTGTAATTTATTTTATTTCTTTTTATTATTTTTATTATTTTATTACATTTAAGTATATTTTATTGGAACATATATCTATATTTAGTATAGCAAGTAGTTAGCTATAGCAAATTAATTTTGTATAAATAGAATAGCTTTTTGTTTAAGTTGTAAATTAACTTTTTTGGGAGTTTCAAGTTATAAATAAAGAAATCAATTTAAATCTATACAAATTTACTTTTCCCTTCAATGTTGTTTTTCACCTAAAATTGTTGTGACACACTACACTAACTTACTATTAAGTTCATCATTACGAGTTTGACTAATATATCTTAAATTCTAAGACATGATAAATTGCTGAGTTGATTCAAGTATAATAGATACAGTCCCCAGCGAAAAGAATGGCGAAAACATATTTCGACGGTATGTACAAACTTTATTTTAAACTATATTTTTTTTTTATTATTTGTAAGAACAATACTAACGACAACTTTTATATGATTAATTAATATTTGGTATGTCCT